ACTTTTACATGGAAACAATGAGGAAATTCATGCCAGTGGTCTTTGGAAAAATCTGTTGGCACCACCAGGTGCATCAGATAGATTGGTAATCACAGATTTATAGTAATCTAGGTCCATGGAGCCTGATGTTGGAAGCTTTTTCAATTCCCTATGTTGTGCTGGAAGTGACACTCCTAATCACTTTCTCTGGAAACAGCCTTGGCCTGTTTCTCTTGTATTGCAAGCCTTTAGCCTTGGCCAAATAGAACATTTTTTAAATGTTCCTTTTACCCCACCAGAGCAATAAAGAAGTTCAGTTGTATGGGGGGTTTTCTGTACTTAAAAAATAAAAAATAAAACTAAATTTTAAAAAAATGGCAGGAGACCACACTTGTGAAAAATGTTTTCCTGATGTTCTGAGGTGTTCTTGCTTTTTGCCCTAAGTCTTTTGGATCATCTTCTACCCTGTTCTTGTTGTGTTTTATAGCAAATCCTTGGATGAAGATAGGTTGGGATAGATGTATTTCATTAATTTTTCTCATAGGGATATTTTTATTTGAACTAATCGTTAACATGTTTTTCTAGTTCTTTCAAGATACTGCTCATCTCATTTGAGTGTATTGGTAGCCTCTTCTCTGAAGGAGTAGAGACAGTGGCATTTTCATGATCAAGATAAGTGTCCAAGAAAGCAAGTCAAGATTGAGGCATTCTTGTTTGTATAGAGGCACCCCTAGTTCTTCAAGAGGAAATGAGAAATTTCTTCTTCGGGGAATGTGTTGAGGACAGGAAGAAAACATTTCAGGGATTGATGGAGTAGAACTCTGATCTGAAGAGGAATTGGAGATCCTTCCGCCAACAGACATGAGGCTATACAAAGTGCCATATTGTATGGTTAGCTTTTCTTTTTTTTTTTTTTTTTTTTGAGACGGAGTTTCACTCTTGTTACCCAGGCTGGAGCACAATGGCACGATCTTGGCTCACCGCAACCTCCGCCTCCTGGGTTCAGGCAATTCTCCTGCCTCAGCCTCCTGAGTGGCTGGGATTACAGGCACGCGCCACCATGCCCAGCTAATTTTTTTGTAGTTTTAGTAGAGACGGGGTTTCACCATGTTGACCAGGATGGTCTCGATCTCTTGACCTCGTGATCCACCCGCCTCGGCCTCCCAAAGTGCTGGGATTACAGGCTTGAGCCACCGCGCCCGGCATGGTTAGCTTTTCATTGACTTTGATAATTCTCTTTTCTCACCTTGTTTTCTCTCTGCCCCCAAACCACAAATTCCAAAATGGAATCATGTTTCTCAATGTGGTTAGAAAGTCCACCTGTGTCCCAATTAACTGGCATTGCTGGTTAAATTCAGATACCTGGGCCCACCTCCCAGATTGAATTAGAATATTGTTGGAGGGCAGAAGGTGGAAGTCTTGAGAGTCTACATTCTTTAAAGTCCTAGATGATTTTTCATGCATCTTACACTTAGAGCCAGAATCTTTGACATCGTCTTTATATCTTGACTATGAGGGCAAACTGCTTCCAAGCCTTCTCTTTTTGGCAAACTAGATCATCCTTATCATTCTTACCAGGAGTGGCCAGCTGCAGACCCCTGCTGAGAAATTACATTTACCACAACTTTCTGGACTTCTGGTGTCATTCCATCCCTCTGGAAGAAATCGAATTTTGTACCAAAACATGAAGTTTTCAGTGTTGGTGGCGACTGCTCTTTAAATAGCACCCCTAAACATTCTAAGAGCAAGATTCCTCTGTACTTTCTTTGTGTGAGAGTTCCCTACCCAGAAGCATAGGCAAGAGAAAAGCTAGTTACTGTCCTGGAGCCCACAACCAAATTCCTGTAGTGTAATCCAACTACAGATGGTGGGTCAGGGAGCTTGGGTGGGGTTGGGGTGGCCCACATGCCTGTCCTGGGCAGACTCTTCTATAGGCCTGACTAGAATGGGCAGCAGAAGTTCCTGTTAACAGATGGAAAGGGTGTTTGCCAGAGGCTCTAGCTTTCCTCTCAAGGATGCCTGAGCTGCTGTAAACCCCTGCTGCTATGGCTGGTGAGGCTGGCCAAGTCTCTTTCTGTTGACTCTTGTTTCCATCCCCCCCACTCCCCAACGCCACTTCAGTCCTACAGATGCTGGTTTATTTGCACACTCTATGCTGATCTTGGATTGAAAGCTTCTCATTGTTTTTGAGTTCGGTGTTTAGATAACACCACATGCCTGTAGCAGCCAGAGCACCCTGTAAAGGAAATGCCTGGTCTCTAACAGTCCTGTCATTCATTCTGTGTATGTGAGTGAGTGTGGTCTGTGTTTAGGACCATTATAAGGGCATTTCTCTGCAGGGATTACTAGTTGGGACCTGCAGGGATACCAGCCCCCGACTTGATGTCTGGAATTCTAGGGATGGTTTTCTGAAGTCTTCCCTCTTTCATTACAATCCTAAAAGGATTACAGGTTATTTTGCCCAAGCCTTGTTTCTACACAGAGCTGCAGTACCAGAGCATTCCTTCCTTTGGTGAGAAGACTGCTTTGGGGGATACAGGACCGACTGGGTCTCTCTCTCCACCCCCAACCCACAAATTCCAAAATGGAATCATGTTTCTCACAGTGTGGTTTGAAAGTCACCTGTATCCCAATTAACTGATGTTGCTGGCTAAATTAAGATACCTGGGCCCACCTCCCAGATTGAATTAGAATATTGTTGGGGAGCAGAAGGTGGGAATCCTGAGAATCTACATTTTTTAAAGTCCTAGATGATTTTTCATGCATCTTACACTCAGAGCCAGAATCTTTGACGTCATCTTTATATCTTGTCTATGAGGGCAAACTGCTTCCAAGCCTTCTCTTCTTAGCAAACCGGATCATCCTTATCGTTCTTACCAGGAGTGGCCAGCTGCAGACCCCTGCTGATAAACATCAGACCCCCTGGGGTTGGTGTTGGTCCAGGCTGTTTTTATGACCAAGCTAGGTTGGCAGCTACCTCTGTACTGTGGTTTCAGGGCTTCTCTTCCCATAGGATAGCTCTTTTTTTGTCTGCTTAATTTTCCCCACCACTCTTGGCAAAAAAAAGAAAATGTGTTATCTTAATTTGATATTAACTCTCTTCTGGTAATGTATAGTTCTCTTTTCACTTGGTACAATTCGATTAAAACTTCTTTAAAATGTTTCAAATAATCCTGTTAGCCTCTAATTTAAGTGTCTTGAGGCCCTTTTCAGGTCTGTGATTCTCTAGAATTTACAAACTTTTTTCTCTAAAACGACTGGGGTCACTACCTTTCCATGACAATAATGTCTGCATGAGACAGAGAGAGTTAGTAGTTCTGACGTGGCATTTATTTCTACAGTGTCTCCAACATGTATACTTCACTTTCCTACCAGTAATTCAGTGCTCCAAAAATTAATCCAAAATACAAAAGAAAATTTGGTTGTAACATGGACTGTGAGCAGTCATCCCTTTGTAATAAAATAATCATCCTGACTGCCTGAAAGATCACACTCACCACCGCCCATACCCTTTAAAAATTAGTACTATATATACTTATCAATGCTCATGGCCATCTTGGTTCACTCTAATATTGAAATTACCTTTTGAGTCATCCAAAGAAATTATTTAGAACCATACTGTGTGACTTAAAAAAAAAAAAAGCAAATCTTATGAAACTGCAGAAGAATATTAGATGAACCAGAACATAGCACTCTATAATGAAGCTAGATAAATGAAGTTCTATGTATTAACCAAAGTATATTTTAAAGCTACATATAAACTTGTGGGGAATTGCAAAGGGAAACAAGTCATTTTTCTTTTCTAATTGTTGCACTACTTGCTCTGCAGTTAAATTTAAGAATTGTCTTTAATACTTATTCTCAAGCCGGCCATGGTGGCGCACGCCTGTAATCCCAGAACTTTGGGAGGCTGAGGTGGGTGGATCACTTGTATTTTAGTAGAAACCCTGTCTCTACTAAAAATACAAAATTAGCTGGGCGTGGTGGTGCATGCCTGTAATCCTAGCTACTCGGGAGGCTGAGGCAGGAGAATTGCTTGAACCTGGGTGGTGGAGGTTGCAGTGAGCTGAGATTGCACCACTATACTCCAGCCTGGGCAACAAGAGCCAAACTCCATCTCAAAAAAAAAAAAAAAAAAACACAAAAAACCTTATTCTGTAATCATGCCATATATAATATAAAAATTCTTGTGAACAGATTAAAAATTCAAAATTAAGTAATAAAATGATTATGATTGAAAAATTATTCATTATAAACAATAAAGTTTTTAATTGTTCCTTTTTTGAGACAGAGTCTTGTTCTGTCACCCAGGTTGGAGTGCAGTGGTGCAACCATGGCTCACTGCAGCCTCAACCTCCTGGGCTCCAGTGATCCTCCCTCCTCAGCCTCATGAGTAGCTGGCACCTGCAGGCAATGTCACCATGCCTGGCTAATTTTTTTTATTTTTTGTAGAGACAAAGTCTCATTATGTTGCCAGGGCTGGTCTCAAACTCTTGGGCTCAAGTGATCCTCCTGCCTCAGACTCCCAAAGTGCTGGGATTACGGGCATGAACTGTTGCACCCAGGGTTACTTCAACTCATGCACTATTGTTTTTGCTGATCTCTAATATGAAGGATGACATATTGCTTAAACACCATCCATGACTACCCAGTTAGAGTGGACACAACCCACTTCTCAGGGTCTTAATGAGTATGTTTTTTGGTTGTACAGTTAGCTTGGGTAAACAAAATCATTATTTTAATAGGTCTCTTCTTTCAAGATGTTTTTGTTATCCCTTTCTTGTAAATTTACTGGTAATTCACCTTTTGGAGACTGCGAAAGAGAGCTGATAATTTACGTAACTTGCTTTAAAGTAACCAAGGAGACATTGCTACCCTCATTATTCTAGCCACTGTATAGAAATATCCCTTTGCTGAAATTCAGCTCTACAAACTTAACAGGAGGTCCCAGGCAAACAAGTGTTTTTCAGACTCTTGTCTAGCCTATCTCACGTCTGATTCCTGTGCCTTGTGCCTTCCAGTTCTCTCCTGCGCTATGGTGGAAACCTGTCCCTACAAAGTGCCATGAGTGTACGATTCAACAGCAATGGGACCCAGCTCCTGGCCCTGAGGCGGCGCCTGCCCCCTGTGCTCTATGACATCCACTCCCGCCTGCCTGTGTTTCAGTTTGACAATCAGGGTTACTTCAACTCATGCACTATGAAAAGCTGCTGTTTTGCGGGAGATCGTGACCAGGTAAGTGCTTTCTGCCTCCTGCATCTCACACTCAGGCTTTTCTCCGTGATTGTTCTTTCTATACTGGTCTTTATTTCTCATTAGCTTCGTGTCAGGTAGAAACAATTAAGGGGAAGCAGTGAGTGCCTGGAGATGTTCTGGCTTAATAGTAGTGAATTTCTTCATCAAGGCTGCCAATGGGTATACACAAGACACACCATAAACCAAGGCTGGCCACGATATGGTTCTGAGCCACCTAGCTTTGCCAAGTTTGTGAACAGATTTTAAGATTCTAAGAATGTGCCATTTCAGAGAAAGGAGGGAATCCATGGAAAATTAGCCTGATGGTGAGAGAGACATTAAAAAAAAAAGAAATCAAAACACAATGATGAATGAAACACCCTAAGTACCATCCAAGAGACATGTATCTTGAATGGCCTCTTGGGATGGCATCTTTTTCTTGGATGAAGTGGGCTAAGCAGTATCGTTTGAGAGGGAGCCAGATGCTGACTCTTTTTCTTTTTATTGCCAGCATCACAACTGGAAATGGAGAGCCCAAGCTGTGAGTTTCCAGCCTTTTCTCGGTCTCACTAGGAATGGAGATGCTGATGTGACTTCAAGCTGGCAGTTTAAGAATACACTTGGCATTCTTGCACCTTCTTTCTTGGCCATAGAAGTTCTGAAGTGTCAGTGACCAGTTGGGCTTGTCTAGGTAACCAAGCCGAGGAAAGACAAATGTGAGGAAAGACAAATCTAAGGACAGATTGATCAAATAAGCAAATATTCTCAAGCACAGCAAATATTATTGCTCCTTAATGTATAGATTGAGAAAAAGAGAAGCCTTAGTCTCTTGGTAGTGCTTAGTGTTCTTATCTTTGGGCCAATCAGCTGTGACAACTTTTGATGTACAATTCTCATATGCTGTACCCCACCTTGGAGTTATTTTTGGCATAAAAGAAATATAAAAGAGGCATAAAAGAAAAATTTCTTTGAGAATCTGGCAGGACCTTGCTTTTTGAAGTAAAAGCTAGGATTTTTCTCCCTAGGTGGGGGTTGCTAGAGGCCTCCTAATGTCATAGTTTAAGGATTAATAGATTTAGTAGGAACCGAATAAGTGCCTGTTGAGTTGACTTGCTTGTGATAGATGAGAACTTTTTTTAAGTTTTCTGAACTAGGGATTTCCCCTCTTTTAAACAGAGACTATACATCCAAATTCAGGATTTATATTCATGTTGGAGTCTTCTGGCCTACTTAGCTGAGATCCATACTGGAGACCACTAGGTGGCCTCAGTGATGTCTCCTTGGGGAGTCCACAGTGCCTGAATGACTTAATTTGTATATGCCTATGTGGTACTGCAAGGAATTTGTTTCTTGGATGGGAAGAAGGCTTCTAGAGGTGATCAGACTCACAATAGAACAGATAGGCAGAATGGTTGATTTAGCTTCGTCTGACTGTGGAAATGACAATCAGGTCTCTCCCTCTCTTTCCTTCTTTGCTTTTGTTGATTTTCCATCTTTTATCAATTTCTTATGCACGTAATTCTTGTTTTGTTGAATAATGCAGTGAAGGTGATATTAATAGTTTATTAGGCTTTATTTCCAGAAACCAGAGGCTGAGGTAAAGGTGAAAGAGGTGATCTTCTTCAGGTTGTATTTAGCAACCAAAGACTGTCTTCATGGACCTTAGAAGACCCAGAACCTCTAGCCAACATGTAAGCACCTAGACCATTGTTTCCATCCTTATCATTGCTGACATTTTGGCTAGATAGTTCTTTGTTGTGTGGGGCTGTCCTATGCATTATAAGATGGTTAGCAGTATCCCTAGGCCTCTCCCTACTAGATGCCAGTAGTACCAACCTAAGTTATCCACCAAACAACCAAAAATGTCTCCAGACATTGTCCCCTGGGGGGAAAATTGCCCCTGATTGAGAACCTGTGATCTGGATTACAATTACTCATTTTGCTCAGACGCACTGGGGCAGGTATTGTTATAGGCAGAGTCACAGAAGGTATTTTGTGATAGTCCTAGATATATACGTAAAAGATATCATTGTTTCTGCCTTTTAGTTCATATATAATTATATAAGTATTGAATGGCTTTTGATTTTCTCTATTTAGATTTGACTAATTTATTATTTGTGACTTTTGTCCTATGGGAAGAGTTTATGGGTATTTTATTCTCTCTGACAGACAAGGCGACTTTTTGGTTGGGGTAAGTGTTTTTTCTTGAAAGAGGATGCAAAGTCATTGAATCTAACTTTGGATCCGTTAACAGAGTTAAAGTCTTAAAAGTCTGTTCATATTCCTGAAATAGTTAGAGGTATATAACTTAGGGAATTGGAAATACAGAGATTTATGTTTGGCTTTTTTGTTGACTCCTTAGGGACTAAGAAATGTAGCTAATTCAAGTCTTGTCTCCAAATCCTGGCACACAGTGAGAACACAATGAAAATTTGTTGAAGTAAATCTTGAGTACTTTGGTCAATGTGTGGCATTTCGATTTGTGGGCCTAAGTCTTCTCTAACTGTAAATCAGGATTGATAAGTATCATTTTTCCTATTCAACTTCCAGGGGCCTTTAGGAGGATGAATTAAATAATGGATTTATAGTGAAACTAATCTACTGAACTTACAGTTTTTTTTAAGTGTTGCACAAGAGGTCAGACTTACTGTCCCAGTCCTAGAACATGTCTTAAAAGTGATTTATAGGCTCTGGCTTTGCACACTCAGGGATAAGGCAGCAGTTGTCATGGTTACAGTATAACCTGCAGGACTGCCGTGTATATTCTTGGACGAGTCTAGACAGAACCTTTTTTTCTGCTTTCAGTTTCCAAAGCCTGCCTTTTCCTTATATTGGGCTTTATATTTGACCTCATTCCTGTATGCTCTGAGAACACCCACTGCCTGAGGCTCTGTGTTCTGGAACTCTTCATTTAGTCATAGGCTGGGTAACCATCCCAGACAGGAATCTGAGAATTTCCATAATAGGAATGAACATGGATAAGAAAAGCTGTAAGAGATCCTATTTATCTGAGACAGTCACCTGGCTTTTAACTATGAGATTATTCAGTCCGCACAGATGGACCCAGATACTGTTCGGAGTACCTGTCTTTCTTTGTAAACTATCCTAGGTTCAGTAGGTAATTCATTAGCCTCAAAATAAAATTAACATTTCAAGAAATTGGACTTGGGGAATAAAGTGTGAAATATCTGAGCCTCCTTTGTGTCTCCCTCATGCTCATAGCCACCACTGTAGATGGATTCTAATTATAGAGCTATTAGAGATCATTTTGTACAAACCTTTTCTTTTACAGATGAGTAAACTGAATCTCAGAGTGGTCACAAGTCACAACACATACAAGTTTGTAGGCAAACCAAGGCTAGAACCCAGGGTTTTGGGCTCTCGGTAGAGACCTTTTTTTCACTGTACAAATGATCACAACTTGTGGACAGAAGCAAGATTGGCAGCAAAAATAAGCGGATTGGCTGGGAGTAAACATTAAGGAGTGGCGGGGACTATGGAGAGCCCACATCCCATCTAAATGGGTCAGCTTCTACACAGCTTTAGCCCATTGTTGCCAGGGCCTCCGATTTTTTTTCAAGAGAAGACAGAAATAAAGTTTTTTATGTGAAGCCTCTTGGTTTTAAAATATCACAACAAATTCATATTTTATTGTATGTATAAAACAAATCTGTACACCATACCTATTCTGCTTTAGATCCACCAGTTTGAAACCTCTGTGCTTCATTCAGCAAGATGTTTTTTCTCATGTTTAGTGCCATGGTCTGTCCCTAACTCGTGGGTTAGTGGAGACAAGTTCCTTTTTCCTGCTTCCTACTGAAGACTTCCCAACTTCATGTCTTTTTCCTCACTCCATCTTTTAAAATAAGAAAGCATATATTTACTGAGCATTTACTGTGTGCCTGATGCTGTAGTGGATACCTTCATATAACATTGCCAGATTGTACCCTCTTTGAGATTTGCGCTCAAAACCCTGTATATAATCTGTCTTCTCCCTTTTGGCTACAAACACATAGTTTGTTTAATTATTCAAGTTTCATAACTTCTAGCATCAGATCAGGTGACAGAAGTGACACCAGGTTGGCTGAGTATCAACAGAAGCAATTAGCCCTAACTAAAGGCTTACACTTTTTTTTTTGGTGGGGGGCGGGGTTAAAGCAAGCCTACCTTCTAGTCTTGCAATATAATGGGGACTCTTGCAGTAAAACAGCATTCCTTTCCTTGGAGGCTGCCTGAGCCCAAAGGTTCTTCTTGCTTTCACTTCCTACTTGGATTTTTGCTTTGTTTTCTCCCTGAAGCCTGACTGGGTACATTCTGTCTTCTAAGCTTCACACTGTTCTCTACAAACTCAGTGGGCCAGTCTCTTAATAGGGTTAAAAAAGAATGCCAGTGTTCTACCTGCTGGCTTTTCTGGAATGCACGTATAAGACAGCACTTGGCTTTTGTTCCTTCTCTTTCACAATTCCTTAAATGGCTCTTGTCCTAGATTGTGAGTCCAGTAGAATGGTTCAGGCTTCTGGGAAGTAAGTCTTTCAAGCTAGTGGGCATATGTGCCTGGAAATGGACAGTACTTTAAATGATTATTTAAAGTATTTTTTGCTTTAGTCTCATATGCTGCCTGGCCTAATAGTACCCTACATCTTGCTGAAAGTAGGATGTATATGAAAGGAGAAAGCATAATAAGATTTTCTTGAAAAGGCTGAGCCCTGGAGTACCTGAGCACTGAGATCTCTTATACTGGTCTTTTGAACTTGATAGATGGCAAGGCCCCAAAAATTGTGATCATGAAATCATCCTGTCCCATCCCCTGGAGGAGAGAGCTGACTTGTACCCTATGAATCCAACAAAACGGCCTTGAATAAATGGCCTGCCTCAGACATTACATCATCACTCAACCTCTCTGTGTTGATATTATATGGGTATAGCCGAGGTGTGGAATGCACCAGTAAGTACTCTCTAGGCTAGAGAAGTGCCCTCTAAAGTTATAACTTTGCTTTTTCTTTTTTAAATAACTCCATGTACCCCTGATTAAGCCCACTTTGGGGCCTGGCATGCCATATGCTCTCCTTTATCTGAGATAAAGATGTACTTTTAGTGAGGGAAATTCAACCCTTAGTTTCCATCCTTTGACTTGTTTTGTGATTTTAGACTACTGGGTTTTTTTTCATCTCCTTACCATTTATCTTATATATTTTTAGCACTTTAACTTCTAAAGCACTTTCATATTCACTATTATATTTTTTTGTTGATGTTATTTGTTTGTTCTGAGACAGAGTCTCGCTCTGTCACCCAGGCTGGAGTGCAGTGGCGCGATTTCAGCTCACCGAAACCTCTGCCTCCCGGGTTCAAGCAATTCTTGTGCCTCAGCCTCCAGAGTAGCTGGAATTTCAGGTGTGTGCCACCACACCCAGCTAATTTTTTGTGTTTTTAGTAGAGATGAGGTTTCACCATGTTGGCCAGGCTGATCTTGAACTCCTGACCTCAAGTGATCCACCCGCCTCAGCCTCCCAAAGTGCTGGGATTATAGGCATGAACCACTATGCCTGGCTCACTACTAGATCTGAATGATCCCAGCAACCTTTGGGTGCACCTGGACAGGTTTCACCCTCATGTGAAACTGAGGCCGATAGTCGTCTTAAATGGCAGATCAAATTGTTAGTAAAACCAGGACTAGACCCAGTCTCTTGTTTATGGTCGTAGCCTCTTGCTCATAGGCATGCTGCCCCCTGTGTTATAGAGATCAAGCAGTAGTATGGGCTGGTGAGGAAGAGCTGAACACAAAATGTTGTAGCAGAGGAATTCCTTGCATGTCTTGTTTAGGGAGTGAATGTTTTAGGAGACTTTTTTTGAGGAAGAGGGCAGACTTTCTGTTTTATAAAGAAGATAAGAGGGAATATAATGTTATTAAATCAGCCATTTATAACTCTTCTTGAAACCTGGATCTTTTTGAAAGTCTAAAAGCTATAAACAGTCATCTCAGAAAAATGTACACATCTATATGTTTTGCATATAATAATAAAGTGTATGTGGAACTCTTGAAACTTAAAGGCTCAGTAATATCAATCCTGGATTAAGATTTTACCTTTTAGTCTGTTTACTGATGCAATTTTAGAACTTAGAAGCTTAAAAGGTTTTGGAGTATGTGTAGGCCTGCTAGATATGGTCTAGTTTATAATCGTTCAGCTGTAAAGGAACACAAGGTGACCTGGATTCTTTTTAGGAACAAGTGGAATTGATGTGATCTGGTGACAGGACATGACAGTTCTTTAATGCATGGCTCCTGGCTAAGAGTCTGGGACCCACTAGGAAATCCCTGTTAGATGTCAGTTAAGGGGAACAGAATATAACCTGTCTCATCTTCCTTAGAAATTTTACTTTTAGTTGAAGAGCTTTGCCTCTTTTTGAGGTATCTTAATCTTTGGAGACAAAAGAAAACAGTATTAATTCCTCAGAATGCTGGGACACCTTTGCTTGAATGAAAAGTATAAATACTCATATATGGACTGAAGTGAGTGCTATCATCTCCTCACTTCCCAGTCCTCACATAAAAAACTGACACCCTTGGAGGGGCTAATGGTTAATGGCCCCTCATCTTCTTCAGGTTTCCACAAAGGTTTGCCAAATAAGATTCAGCTGGCCACTTTGCTTTAAGCAGCTGGTGGTAATTTACAGCATTTTTTTTCCCTTTTCT